AAAGATGTTCTTTTTAAGAAAGCACGGGATTTATACAGCCTATAGCTATACAACAACCAAAGACCAGGGCATGAGGAACACCCACAAAGAGCATTTCACCAAGTGCTTCCCTGGGGGAAAACAGATTCTGCCTTCTTCAGGATCTGGAGCATCCAGTCGGATCAACAGCTAAAGCAGGGTATTTGAGGAAACGGATCAGTAAACGTGTCTGCCATGGGAAATGCTATGTTCCTAACAGAGGGGGCAGCAGAAATGCCCTCAAGAGTCAATTTCAATCAATACATCCAGCCTGATAGCAGAAGACCAGCCAGGATTTTTCTTTCTTTGCATATTCTTGCGCAAAACAGTCAGCAGTTACTCTGACTATAACCTCTTCGAGGCAGAACCGGCTTCGTTCTGTGTGTGTGTGTGTACAGCACCCGGCGCAACAGGGCCTTATTCCCGAGCACGGCCTGCAGCTGCTACTGCAATACCAACTGACACTAATAAAATGGAGAGTGAAGAAGTGAAGCACTAATGCTGTCCCCCCAAAATAAAAAAATAAAAATAAAAAAAAGTACACGTTTCACCGATCACCATGGTTGATATAAACCAGGTGCCAGGCAATGCACCTCCACAACAGTGTCACGGCGCAGCAGGCTGTGGAAACACCACATTACATCATCCTCATGGGGACCTGACCACTGGCTCACCCCAACTGCCCCCCTGTGCCTCCAGGTTCTACCGCCCCCAGGTTCCCCCCCCTCCGTCAGTGAGTCGGGGCCTGGCTGCCCCCTCCTGTCTGCCTGCACGGGGACTGGGCCCCCATCCTGCCCCCCATGGGCCCCTGTTCCCCCCAGGGGCCCGGCTGCCCCCTCCCGTCTGCCTGCAGGGGGGCTGCCCCCCCATGGGCCCCTGTTCCCCCCAGGCATGTGGCGGGGCCCTCGGAGGGCGCAGCCGGGGTGGGGGGCTCCCAGCTCCCCCAGTAACAAGCTTGCCCCGGCCCCCGGGCTGAGAGCCAGACCGAGGTCAGGACAGGCCCCCATGAGGGGCGGACCGGGGGGAGAACTCTCCCCCCCCCCCTTACCTGCCTGCGCCTGGCCCCGGAACCGGGTGGCAAAGACGATGAGGGCGGCCAACAGCGCCGCGGCCAACACGTACAGCACCGGGTCCATCTTCCCACGTGACTGCCCCCCCCCCCGGCGCGGCCACGCCCCCTCAGGCCACGCGCCTCCTTCCCGAACGCCGCGGCCGGTTCCACAGCGACTCAGCTCACAGGGGTGGGCGAGTGAGGCTTGGTACGGTCCGCCTCCGATCCCGGAAGTGTGGGCTGTGAGTGAGGGCCCCAAATCAGGGGTGGCCCCTTCGGTGCCTGTTCCAATAGCGTGGCGGGCAGGGCAGGGAGTGGCTAAGGTGCTGCCTGCAATGGTGCCCACCTCAGTGACAACGGGTGGGGGGCAGCTGTCCAGGGCAGCAATGGGCCTAGATAGCATCAGGGGCACCACAGCCTGGAGGGCCCCACGCCTGTCCCCAGGCCGGGTGTGGGTGGGGTCCTGGCAGAGGGTGGCCTGGACACCAGCTGTAATGGGGTTCTGGTGGTTCTCCCTCTTCCCTGGGTCTGGGTGTCTCCTAGGCTGGTTCCCTACCCGCCTTCAGCAACGGCTTTCCTTGACTTTCCCCAAAGCCCCGCTCCGGGTGGCGATCCCCCCCCCCCTTAGCGGGGACAGTCCCTTCATCACTAGTGGGAACCTTTGGCTGTTCTGGGCCTGGCTCCTGTCCGCCAGTCCAGGGTGGCTCACGAGCGTGAGTCCCAAACTCAGGGCAGACCCTGAAACAGCAGGGCACAAACCCCAAATTGGTTGTGCCAAGCTCTGCTTTGATTTCACCAACCCCGCATCAAGTGTGAACTCCTTTGGCATGATGACAGCCTCAGCATGCAGTCACAGACCGTCCCCTGGGATACTCCGACCTATCTTGCCTTTGTGGTGGATGGTCCCTAACACCAAACATCATAATAATATTCAGGTTACTCCCAGTCCCAAAGGACCAGTCGCTTACCCCCTTGCAGTGTAGATCTCAAACCAAAGACAATACTTCTAGCCACTCCTATATTAAACTAGCTAAAAATGTATTGGCTAAGAAAGAAGTGAGATATTTATAAGGTTAAAGCAGGTAAACGTACACACAAATGAGTTACAGTCTTACATTCTATAGTTCAAAGTTTCTATAGTTAGCAAGCCCTATGTGTCCTTTAGGGCTAACCCAGGCTAACCTGCTGGGGAATCTCTTGCTTATGCTTAGATGTCTTTGCCCCACAGAATTCAAGCAGCATAGAGATAAAGTTCCTTCTGGTCAGGCATTTTTAGTCCCTTCTCCTAGAGTTCAAACTGCTGGGATGAATGTTCATGCATGTCTCCTCCTCATGGGTGTGGGGGGGAGCCATCAGCAAAGTCTTTTGTTCTATGATGTCCCACAATGACTTGTCTGATGTTTATAGGCCTTCTTTTGTTTGGCAGGAGACACCACCTCTTGTGATAAAGAAATAACTTGGTAATGTCTCTCTCCTGACTCTGAGCTTTTCCAGTTTCATAGCAAACACTTCTATAGTTACAGAGCAAATACTATTACCTTATAATGTAGGATACAGATATAATAAATGAGATTAATGCATGCAGCAACCTACCAAGTATTTCACACAGTCCAAACACTAAACTAGGGTTGCCAACTTTCTAATTACACAAAACTGAACAACCCTGCCCCGAGGTCCCGCCTCTGCCCTGCCCCTTCTCCGAAGCCCCGCCCCTGCTCACTCCATTCCCCCTCCCTCCATCGCTCACTCTCCCCCACCCTCACTCACTTTCACCGGGCTAGGGCAGGGGGTTGGGGTGCGGGAGGGGATGAGGGCTCTGGCTGGGTGTGTGGGCCACGGGGTGGGGGCTGGGGATGAGGAGTTTGAGGTGCAGGAGGGGTCTTGAGGCTGGGGCAGGGGGTTGGGCTCCAGATGGGTGTGGGCTCTGGGGTGGGCCTGAGGATGAGGAGTTTGGGATGCAGGAGAGGGCTCAGAGCTGGGGCAGAGGGTTGGGGTGCGGGAGGGGGTATGGGGTGCGGGCTCCAGCCAGGTGGTGCTTACCTTAGGCAGCTCCTGGAAGTGGACAGCATGTCTGGCTCCTACATGCCCACCTTATGGAAGAGTTTGTGAGGGGTGTCCTTGGAAGGCCTTACCCATGCAGGTTGCTTCCCTGCACTATATTTGCTAATGCTTAACCAACCTAATTTTAAATTAGGTTTAAATTAAATTAGGACAGCCATACTGGGTCAGACTAATGGTCAATCTAGTTCAGTATCTTGTCTTCTGACCGTGGCCAATGCCACATGCTTCAGCGGGAACGAACAGAACAGGGCAATTGTCGAGTGATCCATCTCGTCGTCCACTCCCAGCATCTGGCAGTCAGGGGCTAAGGACACTCAGAGCATGGGGTTGGATCCCAGATCATCTTGCTTAATAACCATTAATGGAGCAATCCTCCATGAACTTCTCTCATTCTTTTTTGAACCCAGGTATACTTTTGGCCTTCACAACATCCCCTGGCAATAAGTTCCACAGGTTGACTGTGCGGTATCTGAAGGAATCAAATGCAATGCGGCTTCTGCCACTTTCCTTAGGAGAATATTTCATGAGTAAGATATCTCCCTGTCAGAATGTTTTCCGTTTTATTCAGCGTAACCATTCCTTTCCTGAACATCATCCTGTAACTGCTAGAATCCCCCCTCACGAATGCCCTCCTTTCCTGGTGTCTACATCCATCAAATATTTTTAGTCAATTATGTTTGCTCTGGATATAAGATACTAAACATTAAATGGGAGAGATATACAAGGGACTCCACACATTTTTTTATCTACCTCATTATTTTATCAAAGTAGAAATTTTAGTTTGGCAGGAGATTTATAGAACTTTGTATTATTTTTATGATCCTGTAGTTGCCTATTATTTATCATTTTTACTTTCCTCTTGCCATTTAGACTACTATGCAATGAAGGCACAGTACGGTAGCAGAACCACTGTCAAATTCACTATTACCCTTAGGAAACAGAACAAATACGCTTGGATAGCCCAGATTCTGGGCCTGACCCTGCAAGCTGTACCCACATGAGCAATTTGCATCCACCGGAACAGTCCCCGCAGCCTTCAGTGACGTTAATAAGATTACTCATGTGCACAGGGAGGGACTACACAGGTGTGTATTCATTCCTAGGATCAGACCCTGTCTAGGTTGTATACTCTTGAACGTCTAGTCGTACCACTAGGTGTCATTCTTCTTCCACAGTAACACAACTGGAAAAGAGAAGATAAAATTTACACAAGATAAATAAAGGTGCATTGGATGCACCAGTTCAGTTTGGCTAGCACGTCTCTTCCTGTCTGGAAACACGATGCAAGTCTCCTGCTATTTTAAGATCTGTTGGACTGTATTCCAGTGGTGCTCAACCTCTTCCCACTTTGGACCCCCCCAAAGTGTCCGTAGTTTCTAACTAACTACATTTCAAAGAAGGTGGGGATTGAGCTCACAGCAAGGAACCAGATGTGTTTTGTGG